CTTAAGTTAAGATTCTGGGAGGCCATATCCCTAGGACAGAATAAAAGGCACCTGAGAATCTAGTATTTATATGCCCAACGCTGAACCAGATGTCTGATATAGTTGGCATTCAAAGAATGTGTTTGCGTATAAATGAGTATAGTGAGCAATTGGGCAGGACCACATAATGGGCTCAGGCCCTGTCAATCATTTCTGCTCTGCTAAAACAAAAGGAGAGAGCCACTATCCAGGGTCTACTAGGTAATGTCTGAATAGGACTGAGTGCAGCAGTAACTCCTAATTTGCTGCTTCCCTTTCAAGGATACTGGTGTTCAATAATATAAATATGGTCAAAAGAGGAAATGAAGTTCAGTTGTGGTGAGGAGATTAAACAGGGTGTAGGGAAACAGACCAGCTAATGAATGCAAGTCACTGTTTCCAGATAAATTATATCCCATTGTAACCCATATGTTCAGCGGGTTAACCTCACTAGCCTCTGGATGCCAAAAGGGACTCGGATTACTTTTTTATACCCAGAGTATTATGGCCCAATCCCCCTGTGGCTTATTTTTTTTTTTTTTGGGGGGGGGGGTTAATCCACTGCAAAATAGGCCCCACTGTTTGAGTTTCCTCTGGTAATGCCTCAGATCAGTGCCCAAACATTTCTGTCTATTTGTCCGACCACTTCCTCCTTATAGGGCTGCTATGTTATTGCCCTGCCTGCTAACCCTAAGGAGACACCTCTTATCCTAATGGTCTCTTGGCTGACTACTGAGTGAAAAAAATTATCTTTAATTCCAGAGATAGTCACTGCTAAATCTTGGTGCATGTACTTCTACTTATTTCTCTGTTTACATGTGTACACATAAAATTACAAACATATTATAAATATATTCACTAAAGGCCCGGTGCATGAAATTCGTGCACCTGTGGGGTCCCTAGGCCTGGCTGGCAATCAGGACTGATCAGGTTCCCCTCCTCCTCTTTCCTTTGCCGCCTGGGCCACCACCCCTCCTTCCCTCACCACCTGCATCCACTGCCACTTATCCCTGGTTCCCCATCCCAACCCCAGGGGCCAGGCCTACCAGCCTGGGGGCGGGGGGGGGGGGTAGGGACTGGGAGGTTGGCTGGCAGGCCCCATTGGAGATCGGGGCCTGTGGGATGGGGGCAGCTCCTGCCTTGAGTGTCTGCCACCCGGTGGTCAGTGCGCATCATAGTGACTGGTCATTCCTGTTCGGTCGCAGTGGTTTGCCGCTCTGTTGACTGATGAATTTGCGGACTACTGGACTAGATTAAATGTTACCATGTAGTTGGAAGCTGTGAGGATTAGGCAATTGTGGCATATTGTGTGCAAAGAGGTAAAGGGTAGTATATGACAGTGGTTGGCAAACTCATTATTAAACAGAGTGGCAAACTGTGGCTTGCCAGCTGCATATGGCTTGAGAGCCACGGTTTGCTGACCACTGTTCTGTCGTAATGATTGCTTAGGCTTTTATATATATATATATATATATATATATATATATATATATATATATATGTAGTAGCTTGAGATCAGACTTTACATATTGTTTTGTACCCTGAATTTTCTTTCTTAACATTAAAAGTATTTTTCCATATTACTAAATATTGAAATACATAATTTTAAATTATTATGTAGTACAACTGATGAATATATTATCATTTAACAATTTCTATTAGACTTTTAATCTGTTTTCCATAATAAGTATCATTGCATTGTATCTTTTTATATCCATTTTCATGCATTTCTTGGTTGTTTCCTTAACATACATTACCGTAAGGATAATTCTTGGGGTGAAAATTATGAACATTTTTAATATTCCTGATCTTGCTTGTTTTGTTGTTCATCTATGTTTTTTTTTTTTTAAGTACACAAAATTTACACAAGATGATAAACTCCTAGGTATCAGGGTTCATGCTTTTCTTAACTTTGTATCTACCACACTCTCTTCACAGCACTTGGGGCTGGCAGATTTTAGTGAAGTTAGTGTACCACTGACAACCATGAAGGTATTTGAGGGTACCTCGGGGAACCCTGAAGAAAACATGCACATTTTCAAAGGGAAAGCAGGGTTTAAGTTTTAGCATCCCATGCCTTGTCTGATCCAGAGCATGGGAGGAAAATGAAATTCTCCAAGTCCAATGACACCTCAAAGAATAAACACACCTTATCTCAGTGGAGGACTTTTTTTTTTTTAATCAATCTTTATTGTTCATATTATTACAAAGGTTCCTCATTTCTTCCCCCCTCCACCAGGTTCCCACCCCACCCCATCCTCCGCCCCCATACCCCATTGTCCTCATCCATAGGTGCACAGTTTATGTTCAGTCTCTTCTTCCCTCCCTTTCCCCAATAGTAAATCCCTTTTCAGATAGTATTGATAAATCAGTTACTTAGCATTTTCTCATATCAATAATACCTCCACATGCCCAATGATATACTTCACACAAAAGACATTTCCCAATAGGTCAACTAGCCTCATCCAGGCCCCACCCAAGGCACTCACAGATCAACACTCCAGCCCTATACTAACTCAACACATCCAGATCTAAGCCTTCATCACTTGATTCAGCAGACCCTCAAGTTCCCGCGAAAGTTTCCAGCCATGTCTGAGAAGCAGCTGTGGGGCAGGGGCAGGCAAGGAGCGAGCTGTTCCGGGCCTGGCTGCTCAGGGCCTGGCCTCTGTTCCTCTGGTTCGTTCCACAACCAGCTGCTCCGGGTCTGGTCACTGCCTCTCCCGACCTAGCTGCTCTGGACTTGGCTGCTGCTGCTCCCGGCCTGGCTGCTCCCAGCCTGGCAGCCACTGCTCCAGGCCTGGCCGCTCCCAGCCTGGCAGCCGCTGCTCCGGGCCTGGCCGCACCCGACCCGGCTGCTCCGGGCCTGGCCGCTCAGTGGAGGACTTTTTAAAAAAAAAAAAAAAAATATATATATTTTATTGAGTTTTTACAGAGAGGAAGAGAGAGGGATAGAGAGTTAGAAACATCGATGAGAGAGAATCATCGATCAGCTGCCTCCATCACACCCTCTACTGGGGATGTGCCCACAACCAAGGTACATGCCCTTGACTGGAATCAAACCCGGGACCTTTGAGTCCTCAGGCCGATGCTCTATCTATTGAGCCAAACAGGTTTCGGCTCAGTGGAGGACATTTTAGTTTCCTCCAATAGTCTGTGAACTCTTGGGGGCTCATTTTTTTTTGTATGTCTAATCTCATACATCAATGGTGCAACATGGGCATTTATGGGCCAGGGCCCCAAAAACTTGAGGTACAGATCACTTCAGTGGCTACTGTTCTGTCATTATAAATAAAACGAGGCCTGGTGCATGAATTCATGCAAACGTGGGGTCCGGCTGGCCACCCTGGCCTAGATGGGGTGGGTTGGCGGGGGATGAGAGTAGGGGGTGGAGGGAGGGGACCTGGAAGGTTAGCCATCCCCATCAGCCAGTTGGCTGGGCACAGGGGCATGTCATACCAACGACCAAGAATGGTCCTTCAGGTCACTTGGCTTTTATATAGATACTTTCCAGAGGCAGCATGTACTCCTTCCTTCTTTCTTTCCTCTGTGGTTGGAGAACAGAGGACTAAAAGGTGGAGACACGCCCTAGCCGATTTGGCTCAGTGGAAAGAGCATCTGCCTGTGGACTGAAGGGTCCTGGGTTCGGTTCCTGTCAAGGGCACATGCCCAGGTTGTGGGCTCAATCCCCAGTGGGGGACTTGCAGGAAGCAGCTGATCCATGATTCTCTCTCATCATGGATATTTCTCTCACTCTTCCTTCCTCTCTGGAATCAATAAAAAGATATTTAAAATAAAAAAAAAAAAGGTGGAGACAGAACTGTGGCCGGGCCTGGGGCTTTTGCAGGCAGCGGAAAGAGGGAGAGAGAGGGCTGGGGAAAGTCTAGACATGTTTCCTTCGATTGTCCTCCCTTCCTCCGGGCCCCTCCCTCCGTTTTTTTCCTTCTGGTGGTGGACGCTCAGCCCGACAGGAGCCCGGCGACGGTGGGGTTCAACACCCCCCCTCCCCCCCACACACTTCTCAGCTGAATGCACAGCCGCCTTGCATGCCAAGCCGGGCTGTTTTCCAGTGGCTAAAGCGCTGGGAAGCCACGGCTCCCGGCCTCTCTCCGTCTCCTCCTTGGGTCGGTTGCAAACTTCACCGAGACACCCAAGCAGCTCCGCCCTGGCAGCTCTGCACCGGCCTCTGCCCGGGCCCCGCCGGGCCCTCTCCCCGCAGGTCTCCAGGTCCCCAGTCTGCGCTCGGGGAGGCCGCCTGGAGCCCGTTCCCCCGGGCAGGTGGGGCAGGGGGAGCTGGAGGAAGATGGCAGAGTAAGAGGTGGGAGGAAGCAGCGCCAGACTTCCTAAGCTCCCCACCGGGCCCAGGCCAGGCCCCTTCCCCGCGCCGGGAGGACCCCCGGCGGGGGTCCCCTCCCCGCACCCGGCGCCTCTCTCTCCGTTCCCTCACCGGAGGCCGGAGCAGCTCGGGTCGCCGCGGCCCGGCCCGGCCAGGCAGGCGGCGGCGCGGGCGGCGCGGCCTAGGGCGCCGGCGGCCGGAGCCTCCTCCCCCTCCCGGAAGCGCGGGGCGGGGTCCCCGGCCGGGCCGCGGAGGCGGGCGCGGGGGCCGGGGCGGGGCGCGCGGCGCTCGCTGGGGCTCGGCCGTCCGCGCGCGCCCACTCCGGCTCCAGGCCGCCGGGCTCCCGCCGAGCAGCAGCGGCCGCGGCGGCGCCAGCAGCTCCGCGCCCCTCGCAGCCGCCCGCCCCCGCGCGCCAGTGCATGGAGACGCCGCCCGCCGCGCGTCGCTGACCGCCGTCCGGCCCGGGACCCGCGGGGGGCTGGGGTGGCGGCCTCAGGCTCCCGCCGGCCCCGCCGAAGAAGCCGGACTCGGGCTCGGCCCGCCGCCCCCGCCGCCCCGAGGACCGCGCGTGGCCCCGCGGGGCCTCGTCGCCCGCGCGCACCGCCGCGGCCCGGCCGTCGCGTCCCAGGAAGTGGCCGTCCCGGGCGCCATGGCTCACTCCCCGGTGCAGCCGGGCCTGCCGGGCATGCAGGTAGGCAGCGGCCGGGCCGCCGAGGGGAGGAGGGGGGGGGGATGCGCGGGCCGGGGCGGAAGCGGGGAACTTGGCGGCGTAAACACGGCCTCTCCCCACCCTCCACGCCGCCCCTTCCGGGGTCGCGCCGGCCCCTCGCCCCGCGCTCCCGGCCCCCCCACCCGGGCGCCCCTGCCCGGCGCCGCGCTCCCGGGCCTGGGGCTGCGGCCTGGAGGCGGCCTCGCTGGCTGGGAGTCGCGGTGGTGGTGGTGGGGGGATGCGGGGTGCCGGTGGGGTGCGGGCCGCCTCGCTCACCCCGCTCCCCTTTGCCCCCAGCGTCTGGAGCGGCTGGACCGGCGGGGCCCGGCCCCCGGTGGGAAGCGCCCTTGGAGGCCCGGGCGCCGGCGCTGGGCCCTGCGCGCCGCCGGGGGCGGGGGGCGGGGGGCGGCCGAGGCCCCTTCCCCACCCGCGGAGCCCGCAGTTGAGTGGAGGCGGGAGGGGAGCCCGGGGCGCGCCGGGCCTGGCCCGGCCGGGCGGAGGAGGAGGAGGAGGAGGAGGAGGAGGAGGAGGAGGAGGAGGAGGAGGAGGAGGAGGAGGAGGAGGAGGGTGGGGTGGAGGAGGGTGGGGTGGAGGAAGAAGGTGTAGCTGCCAGCCCCACTTCCAGCGCGTTTGTTCCGCGCGTTTCCTCTCGGTGCAGACGGAGGGGAAAGTGGAACCCTGGATCCGGCAAGCCGCGGGACATCGTGCACTCGGGTGTCCCAAATCGGGGCTGACCCGGCGAGCCCGGGACACGGGGCTGCTTTTTGTTGTTTTTTTTTTTTACGTGGAGACTTGATTTGGATCCAGATGAGTTCTTCTCCAGGAAACCTCTTCGCTGATACTTTGTGGCATCTTGCCTCCCAGTGACTTCTTTTTCTTTTTTTGGGGGGTGGGGGTGGGGGTGGGGGTGGGGGAAGCGTGGGGAGGAGTTGAATTTCAAATGTACACGAATACATTTATGTTTTTTCTCCGATGGGGGCTGTTTTGGGCCCTTTGCAAAACATAAATCACCATCCTTGGCTGATGTGTGATGTTGGTGAGCATATAGGTGGTGGGAAAGTGATTGGGACTGACAACTCGATGTGGTTAGGGTTATGTCCTTAAAGTTTCGTTCTCCCCTTTTAGTTAAGCGAGTGAGCCTAAGAAAACAGCCACAGCATCTAAGCGGATTATTTATTTTAAAGGCTCATGTGCTCTCTTCCTTTACTCTTGAGGACTGAGAGGAACAGGGCTGGCTGGGACCTGGCCTCCTGGAAGTCAGGAATCTGTTCCCTTCTTCCCAGGCAGAGCATTCTTCCCCCTCCCCCCCCCCCCCCCCCCCCCCCCGTCTCTCTGTCTCTCTCTCTGTCTCTCTCAATCCATAAAAAGAAACCTGGATTTCACTGTTCAGGTTCGAAATAGAAAAATAGTAACACAATGTTGCCAGAATTATAGTCCAAGGTTTGTTTGCTTTTTAAAGGAGTAGCGGTTAAAGTTAGTATCTGAAGAGTGTGCTTCAAGAAAACTGCCCTTGAATCTCATCTAAAGAGTTTTAAAACTCAACAGGCATTTAAAACCCAAGCTTCAGCTGACTGCTAGGTGAAAATCAGATGTGGTTCCTTGGTATTTCCTAAAGTTCCTGGTTTGGTTTGAATTGCAAGGCAGGGTGAACTGGGTGAAAAATTATTTCTGACCAGTAGAGTAAGGAGACGCTCTTGTAATGATACATAAAAAAAGTTTCCTTTAAGACTGACTTAGGCTGTTAATCAGGTTGCAGTCTAGCACAAATGCCTCCCTTAGTGTTTACCACGAGGTATGCAGCCTTTGTGGAAAGAGAATTAGTTTGAAAAGGTACTTAAAGCCCCACTGGCTGGTGCCCTGGAGTCAGTATCAGATGGTTACCAGGTGGTATCAGGTCTTAGTACTTTCTTTTTTGTCCTCACTTTTTTTCTTTCTTCAAGGGTGTGGACCAACATTTTTAAGTCATTGGCAAAGCAGGCGAATTTCCTGTAATCATTTTGCCTCTCAAATAAATACAGTGTATTTCCTAGGTAATGTTACAAGGGAGCGGTTTTTATTTTCCTTTTTCAGTGTCAGGAGTGCAAAGGTGACTTCTGACGGTCATCCCAGCATTTATAGCTACAAACTGTTTGATACCATATTTGTATTGTACATGTACAAACTCTATAGTTGTTTTCAGTGTGCCATTTGGGGAAGGACATTCTCCCCTCCAAAAAACAAGCACACTTACTTTCTTTGCATCAGCAGCTGCTGCTGCCCAGGGAGGCTTTCCTCAGAGTTCTGGAGGATTATGTTGCAGGCACGCCTGGCTTTGACTGTTCTCTAGGATAAAACAGAACTGCTAGCCCTCTGTGCCCTGACCAGATACATCTCAAAAATAAACCTGGATGAAAGGACATTTTAGTATAAACAGAATTTTTTCTCTATTTTGCAAATCATTTTTATGTCTCTTGATTCTTACTGGTCCCACTTGAAGCGTAGGTATTTTCTGTGCCATTATCTAGATGTGGAAACCAGCAGAGCCTCATTGAACTGATGAAGGTGAGATAGTGTTGTGTGGCAAATTTGTGACTTGAAACCAGGTTATTTTCTACCTTTAAGGTCATACTCCCTACCATCATGCGTTATCGCTTTATTATTAGTTTTGCAGAAGTTAACATTTATTTCACTCCAACTTGGGTTTGCTGAAGAAATTAGAAGTATAAGACCGATATTTTATTTATTTAATCAGGCGTTATTGAACACTTGTGCCAGGGCCTAGGGGATTGGTGGCTATAAATCTGAATGACTTATTACAAATAACTGTTTAATGGAGGTTGCCAGGGGCCTTTCCTTTTTTACCTTCTACTCCTCAGTTTCATGTTAACACGAGGGGTGGGGGTGTAGAAATCATGAACTGAATGTGGTAACCACAAGGAGACATGAAGAAATTAGGTTGATTTGTGGTTTTAACTCCCTGTCCTTCATTGAACATGTGGTGTTTCATTAAACTTAATTAAGATGAAAAGAAAATCAAGCATCAGTTCCAGGCAAGTGCACTGAACAGTTTATAGTTTGCATAAATTGTAATTTAAAAAGAATTAGATTTGGTCTACAAATTTCTATTACAGAATTTCATCAGTCACTTTTAAACTTTTCTGGGCCTTGACCCCCGTAGGAAATATATTTTACATCAACACCTGAAGTAGTTGTGTGATGTGTTTTATTAAAAAAAAAGAAAAAAAAGAAAAAGAAAAAGGAACTGGTTGCAACACTGAATTGATTTCACAGCTGAGTGGTTTTGACCTAAGTTTGACCTAAGTTCAATTAGCATGTTTTAAGGATGTCATAAGTATAAGATAGTCTCACATTTCAAAGTATAGACATAGCTAGAAACGGAAAGTTTCTCCTGGTCAGCCTCATCCTTCCATTTCTCTAGCTGCTTGGGGAGACCTTTGCCTGAGAATGCCCCTTTGTGTGGGGAGAGCAAGAAAGACACTTAATGGCCAATTTGGATGCATCGAGAGCTTTTCCTCAAGTGCTCTTGCTTACCCTGGGGAAACCTGTGTGCTCTGCAAAATCTGGGAAATGAAGGCAAACAGGACAGCTGCATTTAATTGTGGCTTAAGTGCTCTTGTCCTATTTTTCCTTCTTAGTGTCACATTTCCGTAGTTTTCTTGTTTCCATGGAAGAGGCCTCCCCGTGTTCAGCCTGTTACCATCGGCAGCTCGGGGAAAGGTTGGCACGTTGCAGTGTGGACATGAGAGTATTTGTGAGTTAGGTTCTGAAAGCGCTTTGAGGGAGATGTTGGGCTGTAGAAGTGTGGCCTAGTGTCGGAAAGCATTGGGTTATGTGGGGAGCCTGTGCTATATAAATCTGAATGACTTATTTGTCTATGGAGTGTGCAGCCATGGGAGGTGTAGGTGAGAAACTCCTTGGGGCCTGTCCTCAGGACCTCAGCAGCTTAGTGAGGGCCGATTCAGATGAACAAAGGAGGTGCTAGCTTGTGGTTGGGAGCTGGCTTTCAGGGCTGGGGAGGAGGAGCATCTCAGGCCCAGGGGAGAGGGCCCTTGTGGCAGGAAAAGGTGGAAGGCGTGGGATTCTGGCTGGTGCTGCGTGCCAGTTTGGAAGGCAGCAGTTGTGCTTTAGCTCAAAGGAGCCCCAGGGTAGTGAGCCTGTGAGCCGAGAAGACTGAGTGGTTGGAGGTCCCAGTGCCAGCAGGATAGCCATGTGGACTTTTTTCACAAGCCTGGCCAAGCCTTGGCCATCTGACCTCTCAATGAACATTTTATAGTCTTTCATTTATTTATTCTCTTATTGCTGGAGCAATAAGGAAAATAAAGGGACATTTTTTTTCTTCTATAACTGTTAGTTGCCTAAAGTTGTTTTTTTTTTAATTGAATACCTATTTTAATACTTTATATTCCCTCTTTTCCTATGTCACCAAAACTTAAGTCTTGACAATTTCTTTTGCTTAAAAGAGTGTTTTTGGGTCCTGGCCGGTGTGCTCAGCTCACCAAAGGGTCTCAGGTTTGATTCTCAGTCAAGGGCACACACCTGGATTGGCGGTTTGATCCCTGGCCCCCCCTTCAGGGCACATTCGGGAGGCAACCAATTGATGTTCCTCTCACATTGTTGTTTTTCTCTCCCTTTCCTTTTTTCCACTCTCTGAAAATCAATGGGGGACAAAATTTGTCCTCAGGTGACAATTAAAAAATAATAGTAAAAACTAGACCCTGGCAAAGACTGCACCTTCTTCTATGCTGAAGTAAACTATAATTCTTTTCTAGTACTTGATGACTTAATAAAGAACCTGGTCCCATTGGGAAAGTTACTGTTAGAGCCTAAGTTTTCTCATCTCTACAATGGGGTAACTTTTTTAAAAAAGTGTTGTTGGGGGATGAGAATTGTCATAAGATTTTTAAAAATTAAAATATATAACTTGGAGGAGTCCAGGGCATTTTGGTTCGCACCTCAGATCTGGGAACTTCTTGATAGTATTT